ATATATACAGGAAAGAAAATGCAGGCTGATGTAACATACTTTCCAATAATCTCTCCAAATTCTATGCACAGCAAGCATTCATGGCATAAACCCAGTTAGAAATGCAATTTTTTTTAAAAAAGGAGCAGCTACTTAAATGTTTTGCATTTATCATTATATTCTAAAGATTTAGAATTCCTGTCAGAATTCATTTCTTTAAAACTGAAAATTAGTTCATTTTCTGCCTTAGAAAATGAATTGGTTATACTATTCAGAAAAGTCTGAACGATGTCCCTGTATATTTAGACACATACATACCAACAACATTAAGTCCCTATAGCACCAGGTAGATATTAACAAAAGCAGAAGAAAAACTAATGCAAAATAAGACAAAAGAAAATGGTACCAAAATGTTTTTGTAATTCACCAAACTAGTGGTAAAAATGAAGCAATTTTATGACAAGCCCCGGCAGCTTCTAAATGTGACTCACTGAAAAAGTAACACAGTAGGCCTGGAAGTCTTGGCAAAAAGAGCACAACTGGAATAATGCTATTTTCCCTAAAAATACCCAGGGGCTGTCAACAGAAAGTTTAAATCCTTCAAATCTCAAGAGGAAGTTTAAAAAGAAGGTATCTTTTTCTTGGGATGTGTTTTCTGAAACAAGGAAACGCTTCCACACATTAATTCCCACCTGAGAGCTGCCATGTTGGAAATAGAAGGTGAACGGGAGTGTAGGCTGGGTGAGGAGGCTGAGCGGCTCTGGCTGTGGATGGAGGAGTAGTTCTGGAAAGGTGAAGCCATGGGGGACTCTCCCTTGGACAGGCTTCTGAGGTGTGCTGTCAGGGAGCTGCTGGTGGCTACGTTCTGTGGCGTTCCCCCCTGTTCAGAGAACTTTAAAACAACATTCTCTTCCTTAGGTTAAAATGAAAAGAAGGGGAAAAAGAAAAGACAGTTAGATTAAAAGGGCAATTTCCTTGGGTGAGTACAAGGTAGTTGCCAGTTATTGAAGACATAATATTTCTTTTTCCCTAAGACACTCAATCTTTTTCACAGATGATTCTTTCAAAAACATGCAAAGTTTTTAGTATTAACTATCATTCCATATTAACAAGTGGCATGACTTTATCCTTACCTCTGTTTTGACTCTCCGAAGAGCCCACAAAGAATGCAAACCTTGAACAGTGTCATAGGTCATTACAATGGAGGGATCAGTGTTGAGAAAAACAATTTTCATTGCATGATCTACAACATATTGCACCCGGGATGAACCGAAAAGACCTTAAAGATAAAACAGAAATGATCAGGTATAGAACAACAGACTTCAAGACTACCGCTTATGACTTGACTCTTACAATTCCTAAAGATAAAGAGAAATCAAGGCCACTAAGTCACAAAAAACAATCTATCAACCCTCAATCTTTAATAAATTTACTTTGGACATCAATTTCTTAAAATAAACTAAAGATGAGAGTGTTATGAGTTTTGATTTCACACATGTGCATTAAATGTTGAAGATCTGTGCTGACTAAACCATTAAATTCATAATTCACAGGTAAAAAGACCCATGACTCCTTTAATAACTGACTTATTCATAAAATTGCAATCAACTATTCTGCCAAGTTTGACTTCCTCACTGGCTCTTTTCTGTATGAAATCTATCCTATATGGTAACTATTCAAACAGTGCTGAACAGTACACTACTGTTTCTGCTTTACTGGGTACACAAGCAAAGTAAGTTTTTTCCTAGTGAGTTCAGCTTTTATGTCTACAGGACCATAAATTGGTTTCTATATCCTTATTTGACAGCTTCCCAAATGATTCCCTCCAGTTAAGATATTAGAAAATTTTAAAAGCAGAATTATTTCATAAAAATAAGATGTACTTTATAAAGAAAGAAATAAAAATCACTCATAATTCCACTCAAAATAACATTTGGAAGCATTCCTCCTAGGTTTTTTTCTATACAGATAATACATATTTTCTACATTTTTACAAAACTAGAGTTGTATAATATTTAGTTTTGTACCTAACATTATGAATAAGCAATTCCTCAGATTGTTAAATATTATTTAAAAACATGATCAATAAGGGCTGCAATCACAGGTTGTCACATATATATTTTGGTTGTCTCTAGTAGTTAGTATTATAATATAGAATTATGAATAAACTTTTTCTGCGGAAGGCCAAGGAGTAAATAGTTTAGGCTTTGAGGACCACATACTGACTCTACTGCATAATTTTTTTTGTTTTTTTTTCTTATAATCTTTTAAAAAGGTAAAAACCATTCTTAGCTCATAAGCCTTACAAAAACAAGCTGGATTTAGCCCATGGGCTGTAGTTTCCCAAGCTCTGATATAGAAGATAAAAACCTCAGTGGTATTTCAGAATATGTACTTGGGATAAGGTCCTTAAAACAAAATTGGTCAAAGAATAAAAACACTTTTTTTTAAGCCTCCAAGCCCTCATTATTCACAATTACCTATTACGTTTTGTCACATTTAAAATTTTTAAATAAGCATCTAGAAATACCTCTAGGAAATATTAAAAGTCTGAGTCCCAGCAAATTATGTTATTATGAGCAAGGGAAATGAAATATTAAAATTTACACAGTCTCCAAAAAAAAAAAAAGAAATTTACACAGTGAAGGTCTAAGGCCCTATATTTCTTTTTTTCCCAAAAAAGACACAATTTTAATTTAAGTGCTGTTCATTTACTTATTAATTACTGAGGAACAGAGTCCAGAGTCACCTATAGGTAAGTGAGAAATATATCAATGTTCCTGCTTGATGTATAGGCTCTATTTTTTCCTAAAAGAATAGTTGTTAAAACAGTTAATACCAGGATATTCAAGTTCTTGCATTAATATGAATTATTTTCATAATAAAAAGTTATTTTAAATGCTTATAGTATACTATTTTTATAAAACAATTTAAATTTTCGTAAGCTCCTTCATTTCCTCCCCACTCCCAAACTCAAAAAAGAGCTTACCGTAGAAGAATTTATACAAATACACTTACTTCCAGATTTACACACAAGTGGTGTTATTTCATCTAGCGGATGCAGCATGCTGAACATAGTGGGTAAAGGTTCTCTAGTAATGAACAAATAAACAGTCAGTCACCAACACAAGATGACTCCATTTGTGCACAAATTTTGCACTCCCCTTGCAAAGAAATATCTTCTGCAGATTATGCCAGCAATTAGAAACCTACCAACTCCAAAAGTAACCCTTTAAACTTTTTATGTACTGTTTTTCAGAGTATCTTCGATTTCATTCCTAGAAATCTCTCCCCTTACGCAGGGTAACTCTATGTGCACGCTCCCAGCAGGAACTTAGCATAGCCCAGGAAATATCTGCAAGCAGCAGTCATCACATTGCAGTACCAACAGAGTAATGGGCATAAGACAGCCATTTTTTTTTTAAACCTCTCTTAGGGGCGGTATGGCTCTGACAACTAAGGAAGAAGTGTAGTCTCCTACACCTATCTGCAAAGGAGTGCACTTAAAAAAGAAGAAAAACACCAAGTAGATAAAATGGCTGCATTTTCTCAAGGAGTGACTGAAAAAAAGAGGAAAAAAATAGGCCTTCTGTCTAAACACATAAGTAGATTAAAATCCATAAGGAAATTTAAAACTTAGTGTCTCCTTGCACCAAATTATGACAAGCACTGTATGTTCCTACCCTTCAGTGAGCTCACAACTGATTCGGGAGACAAGGTAACACCACCATGTGTTACACACCTAATACGTATGAAGCCCTACATCAAAGATTGTATTCATTAGCTCGTTAAATCTCTGCATAAATTCTAAGAAGTAAATGATAGTTTTCTCCCTGTAACAGATAAGGAAACTAAAGCCAAATTTAATAATTTGCCTAAAATAACACAATGGACAAAATGACAGAGCTAAGAATTGAGTGTTGTTATCTTTAAGCCAACTGTTTTCTCGATTTTACTCTCTTGGGAGAAAAGCTGCAGATAATTAAGCATCAAGTGAGAAGCAGAACCTGTAAGTGTAAGACGCTGAGATGAGAGGAAAAGGTGTGTGTCTGCGCTTTTATCGTGGAAATTATCATCATCCCAAACTTTTAGGTAAACAATTTTACCTTAGAAGCAATGCAAAAAAAGCCCAAGTAATCATATTCTGACCTGCTTACCTGGGAGGGCCTGGAGGAACTTCATGTGAAGAAGTACTTCGTTCAAACAGCAATCCATATTTGGTGGGCCAAACATTTGCTACCTATTGGGTAAAAGGGTGAGAAAAAACACAAGGAAAAGAAATGATTCTTTATAACATGCTTTTACAAAACATCAGAGAACATTAGATTTTCTTCCAATTTAATAACAGTTTTGCAAAGTAACATACTCATTAACTAGAATGTTTTTAAAGCAATTCTAACAAGCAAGTCTAAGACAAAATCAGATCTAAGGAAGAGAACTCTGATCTGAAATTCCTGCCAGTGGCTAATATCAGTACCAAAATGACAATGTGATTAAACTGTAACAACAGCATTAGTGCATGAAAAAGATGAGAAACAAAGAAAAGACTAATATTGCTCATGTGCTTGAATATAACCTAAAGTGATTTCTTATATATCACTGAAACTGGAAAAAAAAACACCTCTCAGAAAAGATTTCATAATTCACTTCACTAAATAGTGCATTTTTTATGCAAAGGATGGAAATGGTTAAGCCACTATAGCTGCTAAAATTTAGTTATTTTAGTAAAAATAACATTTTTGACTACAAGAGAGTAGCAATACTTGTAAAACCAAATAATTCAAGAATATTCTCCAATAAAACACAAAAACATTGAAACACTCAAGTTTACCTGAAAAGGCAAAGAAGCTATGTAATCCTTTCCTTCTAGGCTATGCATGTTAATACATGAGCTTTGCAATATACATATGCATTTTTCTACTTCATCACTACCTGAAAAGAGAGAGTACAAGATACATGCATTTTTTCCTCCAAAATCCCAACAATCACAAATTACAATTCCCAATAGCACAAATTCTTCAATGCACAAAATAAAAATGCTTAAGCTAAACCACTATTATGAGTGGCTACTTATTTTCAATTAAACAAAAAATGAGATAAAAGATAAAATAAAATTTTTAAAAAACAACTTACTGTAGGCCTTTTCAGACTTATCCTGTGATATAATGAAGTCACACCACAATGCCTAAAATCAAAACAAAACGCTTACCTAAGAAAATTGCATCTAAATAATATCCTATTAATTAATGGTATCTAAGAATGTTGACATCTGTATAATAACTGGCCCCCCTCATCAGCTCAACACACATCCCATGGGAACAAAAAAGACTCAGATAAAATAAAACGTGATGTGGTCTCTCACTGCTGTTCTGATTTGCATTTTGCTTAGTGATTAATGACGCCGAGTATCTTTTCACGCACTTACTGGTCATTGGCGTTATCTTTAGACAAATGTCTATTCAAGTCCTTTGCCCATCTTTGAACTGGATTCTTTGTTTTGTTGTTAGAGTTATAAGCGGTTTTAACTGCATTTTAGCAAATGAAAATTCATGAAGAAAACGGACACGAGAGCTGCACTCCAATCTGAAATGTCCAAAATCTACAATATACTTATGATAGCCTCAATTTCCTTTTATGAAATCCCATTCTCCCATTCTCCAAAAGTAGGTATTTTAGCATTCTTCTTTATCCCTGATAGCTAAGAGATCACTAGCCTCTTTTCTATTTCCCCTAGATTTGTCTCTCACCTGTTTTCTCTTTCTTCGAGGCACCCATCTCTTTAATCTGAACCACAAAACAGTATTCCTGACAACAGTCCTCCTGCCCTCCAGTCAATCCTATATATTGCCACCAAAATAATCTTTTCTCAAAATAGAAAACTGATGATGTACTTTCCATTTTAAAATCCTTGCTAGGCTCCCTCCTGCATTCCTTGCTTTACATACAAGGCTCTTAAGTCTGGATCCATCCAGCATCTGCTAGCATCTCTCCACATCCACAGACGATGTACAGTCATTGTGAACTTAGAAAAAGTCACATTTTCCCACAATTTTTTACTGCAATTCTCTCTGCCTAGAAGGCCCTTCTTTTAGCAACTTACAATTCAAATAACATCTTTTCAAAATCCTTCCTCAGAGCTCAGTGCCCTGGGCTCTCACCACACTGGGGCCACACAGCTACTACACAGACGTCAGCTTGTCTGAATACAGCATTTTAGTTTATCTGTTAATTTGTTCATCTTTCTAGACTATGAGCCCTTCAATGGCAGAAGCTGTACATTCATCTCTGTCACCCAACACCCAGCAACACCGTCTGAAACAGAGATACTAAACACTTGCAGAATGAAGGAAGGAATACTCTAAGTCGGAGTCACATACACCAGCTACTATTTCTTAACCAAAGTATAAAATTATTTCTCCATATTAACAAGACTAATAATAATAATAGTAACAACAACAGTATGTTTTCCAAACCAAAAGGACTGAAATTACCAATCTTATGATTCCACTTACAAGGGATCTTAAGATAAGGAGACAAGAGAAAGGAGGCTGTATATCCCTGAGGTCGAGAACGCAGGCAATCGTTCCCTGGAGAAATTAAGATTGAAACATAGAAGCAAAGAACTATGTAGACATAATTAAATCCACTTTTCATGTCTACCCTAAACCATATGGAAAAATTATCATAAAAAAGATCACTGGCTTCAACACTCCTGGACAGACATGCTTTCACACCTACTCTCAAATTAGGGAATAATTCAGTTTATCCTTCCTAATAAATTTTTAGAAGAGTACAACACTCATTAGGAAATAATTAATGGAAAAAAATAAGTACACAGTGTCGAGGTACAAGGTTTACAAGTGAGGAACTTAACATTAGTAAAAAGCCTCTAAAATCTCTTGTCTATAGCCTAATAATTAATTCAGCTACCAAAAATGTTTTCATTTTTTCCCCCAACTTGATATTCTAAAAATATCAGGTGTGGTAGAGCACATGCTTAGCATGCACGAGTTCCTGGGTTCAACCCCCAGTACCTCCTCCAAGAATAAATAAATAAATAAATCTAATTACTCCCCACACCCCCACAAAAAACAAAAACAAAAAAACACAAAAATTAAAATTTTCAGTAAGAAATGATGGAACAGTACAGTGAGCATCTGCTTCACCTAAATCTGACAGTTATTAATGTGTTGCCATATCTGTTTATGTGTGCATGTGGAATTGGCGGGGAGGGTGGTGCTATCGGAAAACTGTACACATCATGACACTTCACCCCTGAACACTTCATTGTGCATTTCCTAAAACTAAAGATGTTCTCTTATGTAATAACAAAACCATCACCCTACCTGAGGGAAAAATAAATCTAATTTTCTACTAGCACCTAATATGCAGTCCATTTTCAACAATTTCAGATTTTCCCAAATGTGTCTTTTTTAGCTGGAGCCAAGATTCAAAATTCATTTAACAACATTCAAAAAATAATGCATTTGGTGATGTCTCTTTTGTCTCTTTTAATCTAGAACAGTTCCCATCTTTTTTTTTCCTTTCTCCAAAATCGACTTTTTAAAGAGACCAGAATGTAGACTGTCCCATATTCTGAATTTATCTAATTATCTCCTTATGTTTTTTTCCTTAAACTTTTTATTATGGAAAATTTCAAATACATACAAAGTAAACAGAATAACATAATGAATCCTCATCAGCCAGCCATTCTTGTTTCATCTGTACCTCCAGCGCATTCCTCATCTCATGGTATTTTTAAAAGTGACTCTCCCTCCAATTTCCTATAACCAGAAGTTAGGACTAGATGCTCACATTATGTAACTTCAGGAAGAAGACTGAGCAGATGACACCAAGTACTTCATGCTGCGTTACAGCTGGAGTATAACATCCCTTTGTCCCACTATCAGTGATGGAAAACTCAAATCACTCGCTTGAGATGGAGACCATGGATATCTCCAAAGTACAGATATATTTGTTCCTTCATACTTAGCAAGTAATCCACAGGGTGGATTACCTTGGTGCCATGGTAATATCCTTTCACCCAATAATGTTAAAATCCATTAATAATCTTTGTCTGAATCAGTTATTACATTGGAGGTTACAAAACAGTGATTTTTTAATTTTACCCTTCTTTCTATATTTATTAGTTGGCGTTCTTCCATTAAATAAGCATTTTCCCTCAGTAACTGGATACGAACTGCATGTCTTCCTAAAAAGGCAGGGCAAATGCTTAATTCTTTCCCTTTAATTACCAATTTTCAAAATAGAGTTGGTTATAATAGCCAACTGCAGTGATAGCAAGTTAGTTTCTTCTTTCTCTTTCTGATTATCACTATGAACCAGATTTTCACTTACTGCTATCAATTATAATCAACATGTGTTAAAGCATTTTTTGTGCCCTCAATGTCATAAATTTTTATTGTGAATAACAAATCAAATTACTCAAGGACAGTGTTTAAAGACTGTCATTAAACTGACAAAGGATAGTGTAAAAAAAAATGATGAAATAAAAAACAAATGAAATTTTTTAAACGTACGCCCAGCTGCTAGGATCATTAGGTTAAGTTTTCTTCATTTCTGTTAAATTTTAAGACAAAAGCTTTTTTAAATGTTAAACAGTCGATCAAATGCTAAAATTCCAATCAACTCACCTGCTGAACAGGACTGTCAACTGTAAACGCTTTATAAACAGCCAATGCCTGGCTTTTACTTCCTTTGCTCCAGATAACCATATTTCCAGCCACATAGAGCTCCTCGTCGTAATCCACTTCTTCTCCAATTTCACTTACGCCTTTCCTTAACTGCCAGCTTTCCTTAAAAATTAACACACATAAGACATGTTCAAGCACTTTCTTCCAATAGTATAGAGCAAGATTTGTTAATTAAATCAAATAATCATCCAGATACAAGTCTCCTACTCTGTCTTCGCCTGTGGAGTAAGACTCAATGTAAGACCAACTCTTAGGAGGTTTATTTATGCCACTGATGAACAGAGGAGGGTCTGCGGGCATGTGTATTATGTATCTCACAGGGTGTTTCATGTTATACTACTATATTATTTTGCCCAAAATAGGAACAAAAATTGTACATCTGCAGATCCAAAAATGAAACTAACATATACTCAGGAGACTAAAGAGGTACAGTAAGTGTATGGAGAAGTGATGGAGACAGGTAGTGAGGTGCATGTGGGATTCACTGGGGGAGCTTATTCACAGTGCAGATTTCCCTGCTTCACAACTACACACACATTTCCCTTCCTTCCCTTGTCCCATTCATCAAAATAAATGAGAGACAGAAAGGTTTAGATTTCTAACTACACAGACTTCCTCTCCCTGAGGTTTTGACATCCTAAATGGATATGAAAGTGGAATAAGGTGGGAAGGATTGATCTTCCAGTATACACTAGCATCTCATTCTCCTAAAGAACTACTACTCTATCTACTTATGTGGCATTTCTTTTCTCCTCTAGAAACATGTTAGTGTTTTGCAGCAGGGCCCATATCTAACTACCATATACTCATCAAACAAAATGAAATCTGGTCCCCACATTCTAAGCAAAGTGAAAGAGGTTTAGAATGGACCATAATCATAGTACTGAACTTGACTCTCATTATAAAACCATGAGTTATATGTCTAAATAAAGTTTTAACACCATAATATAATAAAGCCATTATTCTAGTCTTATCTGCAATTACCAAATCTTAACTGCTACCCTAGAAGTAACACCATACTCATTTCTCAGTTACAGGTAGTCTTAAATTACAAGGAAATCACATCACTCTATATTTCAAAAATATAAAGGGAAACTTAATGGAACCTTCTGTTTCTCGTGGATTGTAACCTCTTGAAGGGATCCCACCAAGCCAGCAGCGCCATCAGAAGACCATAACTCAGAGGCTGGCTGCAGCTGGCGAAGCTGAAGGTTCAAAGCATTAGGATGGTGCTTGCAGTGGTCTCGACCAAAAGGAACAAATTCCTGCAAATCCCTGGCTGCAATCATTGTTGCCCTTTCTTCATAGAAGTTCGACATGGGTTCCAAATATCAACATTATTTCTGTATGAATTCAAGCACATTTTGGTCAGCTCCTAGTACCAAAACCAGGATAAAAACATCACAAAAGTTCACAAAGAGTCATTAATCCCTAGATAAGTGTCAAACAATTCTACTACACTGTAGGTGTACAAGTAGTTGTAACATCAAAGGTCAGTCCGTATCTGACTCTGAGGTGACTACAGTTATCACCACATCTTAGTTGCAGACTGACCAACAGACAGTTACCACTGACGGGAACCACTGGGTTGAGACAAGCCCTTATGTCCCACAACACCAATCCTATGTTTCCTACTATACATTAGTTTCCCCACATTATATACACGAAGCATTTAGACAAGTTGTACTTTATAGTCCCATGACTGCCCGGCTTCTCAACATTTAAGGTCATTTCTGTTCAGATGCTGGAACCTCATCTGAAAAGCACACCTAAAGGATCACTGGCATATTGGAAGGAACAAACAAAGAACAAAAAAACACATTACTTCTAATTCACCCCAAGTTGAACTAATCCTTTCAGTTGACCGATCCACAAAAGACACAGTAAATTGTCAAATGTCACCAGTAGTTTTGAAACCCCAACCCACCTAACCATGTAACTACCATCAATTCCAATATTTGGTCCAAACATAGGAAACCAAGGCATGAAAAACTCTGGCCAGAACAGTCATGCTTGTAGCAAATTTAGGAGTCCCAGCTGTTAATTAACATAAGCTACTGCAGTAAAGTTTATCTCTACAGAGATGTGGCTGAGCTATAGGTGGAAACGTGTCCCTTCACTTCCAAAACATTTCTTCATAAAGGACAGCTAGTAAAATTTACACTGTATAATATGGTAGATAAGGTGGATGTCAGTTCTGTCTCCGGACAACAGCTACAATAAACATGGGTCTTGTGGCATCACATTTAAACCATCAAACACAGAACTCAAAACCAACATTTGATGTCAGCACCAGACAGCCTTTAGAGTGTTTGAAACAGCACTCACAATTAAAAGAGTTTAATTCAAGTTGATTTAGATTCTCTCATCTGAGGGCTTTTTGGAATCAGTAGGGTTTTTTTTTTTTTTTTTACTGCAATATCTCAAAGCCTCTCTAGTTCCTATGCAGCTCCTCTAAAGCCAAAGTTATTTTGCTGTGAATTAAATGTTATTCCGGACACAACTGTATGTCACAATCAAAACACTTTTATTTTCCTCGAGCTAAAATTCAGACCAGAAAAAACTTGAACTTGGGATATAACTAAAATAATACCTTACAAAACTTACAAGAAAACAACAAAATTCAGCTGGTCTTCCTACAGTTTAGTCAACAGGATAACCAACATTAAAGAACTTTCGAGTCCATCCGACCTTCAGTTGTGCAATTTTGAAATGTTATTCTATCGAAACTTTGAGAGAAAATTACAAAAGTATTATAGAGTTATTTTCACAGTGCAGTATCTTTTGTACTAATTAAGGCAACATATTTAACACTTTTACAATACCTTAAATTTTTTTACTTATTAGGAACAACATAAAGAGCTATAGATAAAAGTACTATATTAGACTGATAGGCTATAAACCAAGATACCAGCATTGTTTACTAAAAAAAACAAACTACCCCGCCAGAGGTACCCACAAAGCTGCTTCAAGAGTAAATCCAAATGAACACTGAAGACACCTTGAGTAGAGGCTCCGCAAAAAGGCAGAATGTCCTCGGTCTCTTTAGGGTTAGGTGAAACCAACAGATCAAGAGCCTGGGCCTCAGAAAAATCCTGTCACAGGGGCAAAGGGCCCATTCAGAAGCGGAGGCCCACATGGGGCAGCGCGTTTGGCTCGGGAAGTCAGCCGGGAGGTGCACCGCGGAAAGCCTAGCCCTCAAGCCGGGGCCCCCTTGGCTGTGGCGCGCGCTCAGAGCCCGCCCCTGGGCTCCCAGTCCTCCGGGTCAGCGGGCACGGGTAGGCCTTGGGGCGGGTGAGAGGGCCACGGGACACGCGATGAACCACCGGGCCTGAGCCCGCACCTGTGTAACTCGGGACGCGTCAGGCGCGGCGAGCCCCGGCTACTCCCCGGAGGCGCGGGGGCCGAGGGGGCCCAAGGGTAGCGGCGGGGTCAGTCACGATGACTCCTTAGCCGCCGCAGCTTCTCATCCCCTCTCCCTCCCCTAATCCGGAGGAAGAATGGGTAGCAGCTGCGAACACGACTGCTAACGACAGGCAGGCGTGCAGGAGAGCCACTCAGGAGAGACGTTCAAATGCACGCGTCCATCTTGGCTTTCCCGTCCTGCTTCGCGCCGGGGCGGGGCATCCGGCGGCGCGCGGCGTTCTCGCGGCCCTGGCGCCTGCGCAGTTGCGGGAAGGATGTGCGCAGTTGCGGAAAGAATGCACGCGGTGGAACTTGTTGGGTGCTTCCAGCTTTTTTATCGCCGCTCGGAGTGCCGAAGTAGGACTGCGTCTGCTAGAGTTCGCTCTGGGCTAGGACCTTCCTGGTGTCCAGATCTTCTCTAGGTCATGTCAATACGAGCCTGAACTGCCTCCTGTGAATTAGATTTCCTCGGTAATTGCATTCTTGCCTTCTGACCCCCAGATGGGAGAAGGTATGTGCCAGTGGGCACATTTGTTAAAATTAATGAACCAGTATCAGTACGTTAATAGTAACTGAAATCCATACTTTACTCACATTTCGTTAGTTTTTACCTATATGTCCTTTTTCTGTTCCAGGATCCCATTTAGAATACAACATGGCATTCAGTCATCTTGTTTGGGTTTTTTGTTTTGTTTTGTTTTTTTTAAGGTGAGGGGGGTTTGGGAACCTATCAAATTTTCATCCTTCTTGGTAATTTAGCCCTCTTATTGAAATTTCTTTTGGATTTCTCCCTTATAAATAATTTCCACTGCCATCACCCTTGGGTTTTTTAATATTTATATTAGCACTTGAGGGGAGGGTATAGCTCAGTGGTAGACTGCATGGCTAGTATGCACAAGGTCCAGGGTTCAATCCGCAGTACCTCCGTGAAAATTAATAAACTTGATTACCTCCCCCCACCAAGAGTAAATAAATAAAAACTTTTTAAAATTATTTATATTAGCACCTTAAGTACTACTCTGCTTTGTTCTACTTACTCATTTCCTTCTTGGCCTCTGGGTTCAGACCTTCTGAAGGTTAGGAAGAAGCCTGGGAAGCCTTCCTTTTACAGAACATTAGCCGTGTTTTAGACAATTTCTACAGGCACTCCTATTTTGTATTTCCTTCCTTACTAAGACATCTTCCTACCCAATCTTTCCCACTTCCTTTATGTCCTGTGAAGAGTGGACAGTTCTGTTCTTCTGGAATATGAATTTGATCTTTCTTCTCCCACTCCCCTAATCCACTTTGAACATCAGATTCTGTGTCTGGATATTCTATTTCTGTCAAAGTTTCTGTCTCATTTCTCCTGTCTGCCCTAGGTAGGACACTCTCTTTTGGGTCCTCTAACACATTATGTTTCCCTCCCTCTCCCACTTAGAAATGACTTCTCTGCTTTTAAGTTCTGCTTTCTCCTTGCAGTAGCTTTCCTGTAACCCATGTTAATCTCTGTCTTCAACTCATTTTGCACTGGCTGGCTGTGCCACACACTGCTGTTACTCTCTGCACTCTACCGTCCTGATCTCAAAGAGTTCAATAGTTAGCATGTCATTTTATCAGAATACAATAATGGGGTGAGGGGTTGGTATATCTCAGCAGTAGAGCACATGCCTAGCATGCACAAGGTCCTGGGTTCAATCCCCAGTACCTTGTTAAAAATAAATAAATACTTAATTACCTCCTCCTCCCCCCCCAAAAAAAGAATACAATGACAAAGAAAAATGCCCCATATGATACCACTTGTATGTGGAATCTAAAAAAAAGAAAAAACTCATCTACAAAATGAACTCATCTACAAAACAGAAACAGACTCACATACATAGTAAACACTCTTATGGTTACAGGGGAAAGGAGGTGGGAGGGGATAAATCTGGGAGTTCGAGATTTGCAAATATTAACTGCTATTTATATTAAAAATAGATTCAAAAAACAAACTTGTGTATAACACAGGGAACTATATTCAATATCTTGTAATAACCTTTAAAGAAAAAGAATATGAAAACAAATATATGTTAAAAAAAAGATACAATGAGAGTTGGTTTACTATTCTTCTGTCCTCTAATTGTTTTGAGCATATGTCTTACCTCTCCAGCAAGATAGCAAATTCATTTTAAGAAAAGGCACTGTCTCAGAAGCTCTTGTATCTCTTAACTTCTAATAAAAGTTCAGGTATTTGATTGTAACTTTTAACTCTTCCCTTCCTCATTTCACTGGTTGGCAAACAACAAAATATTTAGTAAAATTAGTTTAACAAGATGGTTTTTATTGAAGGCAGGACTGGTGAATTATTATTTTTTCTCCCAGTTTTATTGAGATATAATTAACAAATAGTGCTGTAAATGTAAGTTGTACAACATACTGATTTGCCTTACATGCATCATGAAATGATTATCACAGTAAGTTAAGTGAATAGCCATCATCTCATGTAGATACAAAATTAAAGAAATAGGAAAAAAATTTTCCTTGTGATGAGAACTCAAGATTTACTCTCAACAACTTTCATATGTAACAGCAGTGTTAATTATGTCTGTCATGTTGTACATTACATGTCGAATACTCTTGTTATTTTTGGTAACCTTGACAGTTTTGAGGAATACTCGTCAGGTATTTTGCAGAATGGTCCTCAAATGGAATATGTCTGATGTTATTTCCTCATGACCTGACGGGGGATATGTATTTGAGGAGGACTAAAGAGATAAAGGGCCATTTTCGTCACTTCCTATCAAGGAAACATACTAATCACATGACTTACGGGTGTTGATGTTAGCTTGGTCACCTGGCTAAGGTACTGTTCATGAGGTTTCTCTAAAGTTACTTTGCCCATATTTCCATACTATACTCTCTGGGAGGAAGACAATGTGTGCAGCCCTCATTTAAGGAGTGAGGCCAATTGACTGTTTATTTACAAAGTTGCAAAAGCAATTCAGTGGAGGAAAGATCATCTTTTTGACAGTTAGTGCTGGAAAACTTGGATATCCATATGCAAAGAAACAAAAGAAAAAAAAAAGAATTTTGATCTATACCTCACGTTATTAACTCCAAAGGAGTCAAAGACCTAAATGTAAAATTAAAACTATAAAACACTTAGAAGAAAAGATATATTTAAATCTTTGTTACCTTGGATTAGACAGTAATACCTTAGATATGGCACCTAAAGCTCAAGTAACCAAAAAAAATTTGATAAATTAGACTTTATAAAAATTTTAGGATTTTGTGTTTCAAAGAATATTATCAAGAAAGTGCAAAGACAATCCATAGAAATGTTTGCAAGTCAGATATCTAAGAAGGCTCTATCATCCAGAATATATAAAGAATTCATACAACTCACCATAAAACAGCAAATAACTCAGTTTAAAAATGGGTGCAGGAACCTGAAAACATTAATTCGGAAGAATACGTATGCCCCTCTGTTCATTGAAGCATTCGTTAATAAAGCTCTTGTCATACTTAATAAGACCTTCGTCTTGATCACAGTTGTAAATTGATTTATCCAATTACTACCTGGTAGAAAGGACAGATTCTTATTGAAACTATGCAGAACAAATTTTATGGTTATGAAAAAAGAGAACTGGGTAAGACATTTTGTTTAATATTTAACCAATGTTACCATTACTCTGAGTGATTTTGTAGTTAAGACTAATAAATATATATCATTAATCATAACAGAGTCATTTATTATGTTTTCCTTTCCTTATTAGCTCATAATCTATATTGCAATCTTTTATGAGCTTACTTCTTCTGAATTCTGAGGGGTCAGCTGGTGCAAGATAAGTATTTTTAAATGTCTCATTACAGTTTGAACAGGTACAACAGTAAAATTGATGCCTAGAGATAAAGGAAAAAATATTTTTGGTATGCCCATTAGAAATAGGCTATTATCCATAATTAAATCAAAGTAGGTTTTGTGGCTCCTGAATTAAGCAGTGTACTTTCATGCACTTGTCTGCTTCTGGACTTAAGTGTCTGCAGTCCTACCTTAGTCCTTAAGTATAAGTTGACAGCAGTCTGTGTTGGCAATGGCAGCTTAATCTGGAAAACCTGGATATATGGTACAGTCCTCAACTGTGGCTCTTCTGCTGTTTCTCCCAGAAGACCAATTACTCTCAGGCAAGCCAGGACCCTAGTTAACAGCTAGATTAACTCCAGCTACTTTGTTCTGCACCCTTTGTTGTATGTAGTACTTGTCCAGGCAGATTGCGGCTCGAGTTAGGGGCATAGCTTTTCAGATTTAATAACACTTTATTGTTGCACGTGGAGCTCTCCTTCACATCTTGAACTGATTCGTGTGAATATTTGGGAGACCTCCCTAACTTTGTGGGGGAGAAAAGAGAGAGAAAGCCATGTTCTCCAAACTCTAGATTTCTCAGAAAGACCAGAAGCTCAGAAGAATGCAGAAACAATTGTTCCCTCACCATCCCACTTTTCGGCTTCTTCATTCAGTTGTTATCCAAACCAAGTAAAGCCCCCTTAAAAATGTGAACCCATTTGTCCTCAATATCTAAAACCAGTTAAAAATATTTCCGTCAAAAAAAGTCTCTTTAAAAGGGCTCTAAAAATATTTCTGTCAATCTTTCTATACACATTTTCTTCCCTTATCAAAGGATTCAGAAAGATCTGTGTACCTGCACTAGATTTTGCTAGATGATTCACACAATAATAAGCTTTTGTGATCCATCTGTCCCCACAAATTCAGTGACAGAGAGATATAGAAAAAAATAATAGACAAACAAGCCACTGTAAACGATGGATTTTTATACCTTATTTTTGTGAAGAAGTGAGAAAGCTTTCCCCCCCCTTCTCTAAAATTTCACACATACAAAAAGAACTGCAAGCTTAGGTTATACAACGTCAGCTATAGGTCAAAAGGAAGCAAAGAACTGAAAAACTTACCAGTCCAGCATTTGAGCAAACACATACGCCCACACACAATTTTTTTTCCACAGAATTGGACCTCTAGAGGCAAACCAAACAAGCCAAACAGCATAGAGAATGTCAGGAGATAACAGAGTATCCAAGACAATGAGATAGTCAAAAATTGTTATCAATCAGCTTTTCTATCATCTGCCACCTGGCACATCACCAGATAGTAAGCCACTACCGAGAAACTATAAGAACCAGACCTCTGTAATTTCAGTATGTTGTTCAGCAAATGG